GAAATTTCTCTGATGATGATAGATTCTTGTGTAGATGTAAGTGTACTATCGTTTGACTAGAAACAGGGGGATTTTCGAAATACATAGTCTGACCAGGAAAGAACTACAAAAACAATAACATTGCCCACTATGGGATGAAAATGAATATTCTGCTCAACAAAAATGCAGGATAGCAACAGATAAAAATGAATATCCCAACCGTTTTAATGCCAATCTTTCGTAAAGATTATGTCTCGTTGGTGAATATATCTACATTTTGGTTCCTGCTCAACTTTAATACTATACTTCATGGCCTCTTGAATATTCTCATTTTATAGAGAAATTACCTTGGCATACGTCTCTGGATAGTTGGCCAACCATATGATATTGTTCTCTTGCAGGAAGCTGTGTGGCATAAGGTCTATTATACTCCTAAAGTATGTCATTATGTGTTCTTTTAAGTCCACCAATTACCTGTATGACGTCTCCTCAGGACACCATACACATATTACAGACAGTCTTTTAAGTAGAGCTGCTGCAAGATAGTTTTCCTATTACCTCTTAGTCCGAAAGGCCATATGACATTTCACCCCACTTGTGATGATGGTCTCATTCTGTAATAGAATCAAAATTTGTAAATCCCTCCAAGATACAATAAATATAAATGTATGTAGTGTGACTATATGTAATCCTCGCCTATAAAGCATCTACTGCTCTCGTGAATGAATCAGCCTAATATTTCAATAAAAATGTGGTCTCCTCCTTTCCTTTGGTCTTCCTTTTTCCCAAACTCCTTTCTCAAGATCAAAAGTTATCCAAGTTTTCCCTACCCACTGTTCGCAATGTCAAGTTACGGAAGTAACTTCAAATCTGCCATTCAATTTGCAGGAAGGTCCAGCCCTCTTTTGCTCTGGTAAACAATGTTCATTTGTCCCCCTTATCTACCTGTTCTTCTAGGATTGATCCAACCATAGGAATTCTAACTTTACTCTCGCATTTCCGAGGATATAAAAAAATAAAATAAAAAGGGAACAACTTGTTATAACCAAGGTCCTCTGATCTTAATACGAATAACAACACCGAAAGGCTCCTCGAGCATTTAATCTGGAGAACTAAGTCGGTGTATTTCGTCCTTGATAGGACAGTATCAATGTTTTGACCTTGTTGTTTCTTTTTTCAAAGAGTAAGTAATGTCATCAATTTTTATTGTAACTTTTCATTTCGATGTCATTTATGACAAGTTCTAACCCTTTTTATGCATCATACAGCAATAGAGCTTGTCCAATTTGTCATTTTCGTTTTACTGCCTTTAAATCGTAGTACTTTTTAGTATCGTTTCTGATAAAATTGAGAATGGAAACGGGGAATGTGTCAAAGAGACAACAACCCGACCAAAGAGCAGAAAACAGCCCAATGCCACCAATCGGTCTTCAAAACAGCAACAAAATCCCGCACCCGTAGGCGGGCTTCATTTGTAATTTGTAATTATGACTTTAAAACAATCCTGCTCAAGTTCATTTATCGCATCTGGTATTTTACAAAACGATTTTTCATGAGGAATATAGATACTACCAATTTAAACATCTTCCAAAGTACCAAAATTGTCTGTCTGCAGAGATTTGACCCAAAGCACCAATTTCTCAATTTACTGTCTGTTTCAATAAGATGTACATTTTTTAAAACTTTTCTTTATAACAAAAAGCTATGCCACATGAAACTATTGTTTACTCAGTTTTTCTATTTTTGAATACAAATTTATACCTCGGTACCATATCGAATTCATCTCAGTTTTTTGCTAAGATAAACAAATGAAATCACATTTCCGTGTAAGGTCAGCAAATTCTGGATATTGCATTGTAATCTTTCAGCCAACTTAATGTCCCACACCTTTATCCTGATATAAGCTCGAGCATTTGTATATATTCATATTTATAAATAAATGATTTACTTGGTTTTCCCTATCAAATTCCTGACTTGGACAATGGTACAGGCATTTCGTATTGTTGAAAATGGTGGATTAAACCTGGTTTTATAGCTAGCGAAACGTCTCACTTTTATGACAGTCACATAGAATAAGAACAGAATGTCGAGTTTCAAAAACGTTTATCGGTTAATCGGACCTATTTAAATTTTAATACATCCAAGGTTTGGTCATACAAAATATTGATTAACAAAAGAATCTCTTTTTCCTTTTGATAAACAGAACACTTGCAATGCTTCATGATCAATCAATTGTACTTAATCATTTGTACATGGCCACAAGCTTTTTTTTAGACGAGTTTAAATTGCATTCCGTGCAGAACGTATTTTCATTCTTCCCTTTCATCAGATAGGAAACAATTTCATTAAAAAAAACAAGATTAGAAACAGGTTGTTACTACATTACGGTCTCTGTTCAACGGATAACGTTATGATGATGATAGAAGGGAAAGGGTTTCTTTATTAATAGTTCTACACAGGGAACCTTGTACTCAGTACACCCCTTCCCTGGAGCACTGAATGAGCGTGAATTTGTAAGAGGGGTGTATATAAATGTATCGATAAATATCGCCTTTTACAGCGAGATTGTCAAAATATTGGGAATATGATTGATTTATTTAACCTGTCTTAAAGTACGTTTGTCTTGAAACTGAATTACTGTATCAAATAACCCTTTGAAAAGGATATTATTATACAGACACCTTATCAGAAATACATGTAAGTAGATACATCTAGATATCATTTTGTGAACAGAGCCTTATGATCTGCTGACATCATTTTGCATCAGTTTTTTTCTTTATCAAACTATTTCTTTTTGTCCTAGTTTCTTCTGTAATATCAAGGCCACTTCCAACCAATCATTGTGGATTATATGGATAGCTTTTAAAAGTAAAAACAGAATTGTCATCAACTAAACAAAACACAGCAAGCTATCGATGACCATTGTATGGTGTGACAACTTAATATTATTGTACAGAAGAATTTCGGGCGAATTTCAAGATATGCCCTCAATAAGAATTTTCTGAAACTGTCATGAAATTCGAAATCATCACGTTTTTCATAAATTTTAGTTTGAAGTCGTCCATCTGTGTAAATATTGAGGAAGGATCAAGATATAAAGCAACCTTTTTACTTACGGTAGAATCCTAAATGTCACGTTCACTGGAATTAAAGAGATGTAAGAATTCATTGAAATGTGGGCTATTAAGTGACAGGACAACATCAGTATATTTGAAAGTGAAATTAAAAATATTTTGCATAATGCTTTTTTTGTCTTTGAGACAGTTTTGTGTGATTTCTGCTGCATAAGAGTACAAAAACAAATAGGCCAGTTGTGGTGCCGAATTCATACCCATTGGATAAACGGCTGTCTGCTGAAATTGCAATCCACCCACCTCAACAAATTTGTTGTAGATCGTAACTCCAGCATTATCATACTTTTATGTTCAGTGTATTTGTTGTAGAAACCATTGTGGTTTTTCACAAATTAAAATGTGTGCATGACTCTAAACAATGAACTTGTATCTACGTTTCTAACTTTTGTAGAAATAATTGTGTTTAAATCATCAAACCTCTTCTAAAATCATAACATGTACTACTATTCTTTCTACAGTAAAAGATGGCCTTAAATAATATTGTGATGTTGTATACTCAACCAGCAATGCCAATCAAATTCGATGCTTAAAGATTCTGAAGATCTAAATCAAATGGCAAAACACAATCAAGAACACCTTTGATTTGTCTAAGCTCTATTCTTCTATTCCGAATGCTCAATTTAAAGATTCACTACTTTTTCTAATGCAAATCGTGGATATAAATTTGTCTTGGGTTACGAAGAATTGTTATTTGCCATTCCCAGTTGTAACATACCCTCTTAAACATCGTATGGTGTTAAAATTTAATTGACATTTTACAAGGATGCATGTTCATTTTAAACAGACTTCATTCACAGAGAGTGATCATAATGCAAAAAACTGCTACAGCAGGGTTTTGAGGAAGAATACTTTAAATATGAAAACAACACGTTATATAAGTTTCATACGTCCGAGGCGCTTTTCTAGATTTACCTTCATCAGGAACGCTCAACGCCAAATGTTTGAAAGCCAAGGAGTTATAAGAACCGAAACAATTGAACAGCTATATGACCAAAAAGAACCTAAAAAATAACCAAATTCATATAAGGCCAACTTTGCCTGAGGGAGTTGACACCTTAGTTTCTTTAAAGTTTCAAAATTTATAAACGGACAATTTTAGAAAGGATTGTTATAAATCATGTCACTGATGTCAGTACCGAAGTACTGATTACTGAGCTGATGATACCCCCAGTGACTGATAGTCCACCAGCAGAGGTATCGGCCCAGTGCTGTAAAAAATGAAAACAACACGTTATATAAATTTCATGCGTCCGAATCGCTTTTCTGGATTTACCTTCATCAAGAACGCTCAAAGCCAAATATTTGAAAGCCAAAGATTTATAAAAGTTTTACAGTCACCTTCACAAATTGATCGATACCATAATATCCGTTTTATTTGTAAACATACCGATGGATCATCTTCCGTATCATGACATTTTAAGTCTGGGTTTGCATGGCAGGTAATTAATGTACAACAGGAGACGCTAAACCTTTCGGCGTACCTGGTCTTGCTCTTTTCGGAGTTCATACTTTTCCCTCAGTAGTTTTCAATTACTTTTTATATCTAAAATAATTTTAAAAAAAGTAACCTATAGTTGTTTATATACACGTCATTTTGTCGTTGGTGGATATAACTAAAGCATATTTGTCTCATAAATTGCAGTTATACCACATCTCCTTATTCGAACATTAATTTGGTTAACTACTGTTATCTCTTATTTGTTTTAGGTATAATCGTTTGTCTGTTTGAGCTTTTGATATCTTAAATCCTGTATTTTAATCTAACATCCAATTTATATGCTTTATATATAATCATTTCGTGAATATTGTTGTTTTAATAATTAACATATCGCATACAAAATTCAATTAAACGATTTAAAAATAAACCAATAATAAAACGTCAAAATGTTATTTTAAAATTTTAATAAAATTGACATTAATGCAATCTAAGCGACACATTACTTTAGTTCATGAATTTTCACATAAATACAATTCTGCAGATACAAAAGACTAAAATACTATTGAAATATCTGAAACAAGGACGTAGTAAGTGTATTCATTCATGACACATTATCCAAACATGCACTCGACGAAAAGGCAAAGCAAAGGAACACAATTTCTACTGCTGTTCGTTATTAGTCGATTATTGTAAATTGTAATTTTACTCTATGACTCATCTCTAAAGAGGCATCATCCCTTTGTACCCAATAATCTTCAGCATATATATGAATCTCCAAACCATACATTATTTGTCAAATTTTCTTATTGTCATAAAGTTAGCATCCGAACGTTGATAGACACGCTTTAATCCTTCAACACTGACCCAGATTGTATCGTCTTTCATTAAGTGCAGGTCAACTGTGACAAATACAGAACGTTGTGTGTGTGCATGAAGAACTTCAGGGTTACACCGTACCTCAGTTCTGTTTCTGCTGTTCAAAATACAAACAAATACAGGGTACTGGTATTTCTTAGATCTGTTATCAAAATTCAACGAAACACTAATTGAGTAGGATCCAGATTCGAGCATACGGATAACTTTGCCGTGTCCGTCTAATGTAACGAAAGATGTGTTTATAGGTTTCCATGGAATTTTTCCAGATGTATAATTGTTCTTTTTAAGTAAATCTAAGTTTATTTTAGGATTGACAAACGTGAATTCTCCATGTGATTCATGGCATGTGTTATCTCTATTGTCTTTGAAGTAACAAACTAGTGCATAACTTACTATTAAAATTATACAAAAAATTACACAAGGAGACCACAACTTACATTTGTTTCCTATATAATGTTTTTTTGAATCTTTCAGTTTGTTTTTAATATCTGTTCCGTTAACGTCGATAGTAGAGCTGTCTCCTGACCGTACTGAATTCACATTTGGGGGTATATGAACAATGCTTTGTTCACCTGAAGTATTTGCACTGACGCAACCGTTCGTGTTATTTAAGGGGTAAGTATTTCTTCCACTTTGAGTAATATCAACACGTGGGTTGAGAGCTCTGCAGTTAACAAAATTTGAATTACAATTTTTAAATTCCGTTTCATTAGTGTTCTCGTTAAGACACAAATTTGAAAACGTTTCTGCCTTGAGTTGTGATACATGTAACTGGTTGGTGTGTTCATCACTACAATCAGAGTCTGAAATATAAGATTAAATATCAAATTCAATTATTATTTTAAATCCATATAAAATGAAGCGAATACTAAAAACTAAGTATATAGAAAAAACTAGATATCGTTGTTCTATACAATATAAAATAAATAAAACATGTGAACTGTAAGTATGGTACATATAATATGAATGTTAGAAGTAATACGAGATTTACCAGATGCTTGAGTTGGGAAATGGCAACAATGCTTAATATCAACGAACCAATGACGTGTTGATGGTAATGTAAGTACAACGCTATATTTCTTCAAATGGAAAAGAAAATACATAGCTTTTAGTCTGTCTAAGCTAAGTTTGAGCAGGCAGTTACCCCCCCCCCCCCCTCGTTTTTCTATCTTGATCTGTGAAAAAAAGGTAAATATATAGGCGAAATCACATTAAATGATAAAAGTGCTTAATGCAGAATACACACAGCTACATTATCAAATACGTAAAATATTCAGCAATCATTCTTTACATTGTGATACAGCTACAATCTAGAAAACTTACCAGTCCGAGGCCTGTCCATAAATTGACATGCTGTTGTGTTCAACATATGATCTGTGATGTCTATTGGTATCGTATTTCCATGTTTTCTTTGAGTCGCTGAGTCGTTGTCTTCCATAATCGGAGAAAAAATATTTCACTCTGTAATACTAATACCTAACGGGAAGCATTTATATACCATAAAATTTAGTAAACATACAGGTTATCTTAGGGGATTTTGATACATTTATTAATTGTGGATTTCCCTTTTCTATTTATAGGTTAAATTAAAATTCAAATATATTAACGTAAACAGCTCATGATATATATATGACATAGCGGGACCCAAGTGTACAACAAAAACAACATCACAAATAATACACAATAAGTTAAAATTAGTTGATAAACAGACTTTGTCAATAATTATTGTGTTAGTCTTCTATGAAGAGTGGGGGAGGGAAGGGGGGGGGATAATAAGAGCAAAACAGCAAATCGATTTTTCTTTAAACAGATAACAGGGAATTGAAATTATTGAAAACAGTAAATAAAAATCAATAACAGATAACAGTAAAATGAAAATAGCTAATAACAGTTAATAGCATCGGTCTTCGATTTGTTTAATGTCTTAAATTTCTCTACCCGCTGTTTCTTCAATAAATAATAATTAAAACAAACATAAGACAAAGTTGACTCTTTGATAATCAATGGTTAACGGAATTTCATCGAAATTCTTATACTCCTCCCACGTGTTCTGGTGGTAACATAACAGCTCTCATGAAGTCCAAAGCTGTTGAAGAAATTGATGGTCCCAACTCGGATGGTATTGTTTTTTTTTTTATTATAATTTTAATTTATTTAATTTTATTTAATCTTATTTAACAAATGCAAAGATTCCCATCAGCAACATACATACTAAAAAAATCTCAAGACTAAGAAAGAATTAGATCTAACATCTTTTTCAAAAGTTATTTTGGAGAACAATGAGTTCCAATTATTGGAACCTTATATAAACAAGTTATAGGGACGCCTCAAGGTTGAATATTATCACCCACTGTGACCGATCTGCATCTGTCAACAATGATGACGACATAATATCTCGATCAGTTTAATTGAGGCCTGGGGCTGTCATGTCAGTAACTGCTAGTAGTCCTTTGTTAATGTATGTTGATCATTGTCATTTTGCTTAGTTTCTTCTGTTACCTATTCTAACATCGGACTCGGAATTCTTTTAAACTGTAATAGAATTGAGAATGGAAACGGGGAATATGCCATGGAAACATCTTAGTCTTGATTTTTTTTTCTGTGCGTATTGTTGTGTGTTTGTTTATTCTATATTAGTTAGACGTATAGGGGAGGGTTGAGATCTCACAAAACATGTTTAACCCCGCCGAATTTTTGCGCCTGTCCCAAGCCAGGAACCTCTGGCCTTTGCTAGTCTTGAATGTCTTTTAATTTTGGTTCATTTATTTGTTTCGTAGTTAAGTGTGACGTGCATTTCTCTGAACTAGTACACATTTTTGTTTAGGGGCCAGCTGAAACCCGCCTACGGGTGCGGGATTTTCTCTCTGTGTTGAAGACCGTTTGGTGGCATTGAGTTGTTTTCTGCTCTTTGGTTGGGTTGTTGTCTCTTTTTAACATCGGACTCGGACTTCTTTTCAACTGAGTTTTTGCTGTGTGTCTGTTTATTCCACATTGGCTTGAAGTATTAGGGGAGGGTTGAGATCTAACAAAACATGTTTAACCCCGCCGCATTTTTGCTCCTGTCCCAAGTCAGGAACCTCTAGCATTTCAACTGTTAGTATTGTGGTTTATTTTACATTTTGGTTCATTTGTATGTTTCAGAGTTTAGTGTGGCATCAATTCCGCTGAACTAGCATACCATGCATGCATTGTTGTTGAGGGGACAGCTGACGCCTGCCTCCTGATGCGGGAATTTTCTCGCTGCGTTGAAGACCCATTGGTGGCCTTGGCCTGTTTTCTGCTCTTTGGTCGGGTTTTTGTCTCCATGGCATATTCCCCGTTTCCATTCTCAATTCTATTACAAACATCGTAAACAGATTTCTATTTACAAATAGTATAAGTATGATTTGTCAATACCGTGATGATGGCTGCATGGTTGCAGCGTGCAACAAATCACAAGTTCTGTGAAATTCCAAATAGTATTGACTTGTGACTTATGATTGACGTATGATTTCTCCAAAACAGAAGTGACGTACTTAGATAATGAGATGTACAAAGAGGAGCCAGCTGGTTACATGCCAAACATATTGAAACTTATCAGTATATTTCTCCCAATTACTAGTTCACATCCTTGACATACTTTTAAAAGTATTATTACAGGTGAAACAATTCTTCACATAAGAAATAATAGCAACACAACTGACTATGGAGAATAAATTCATAGATAGAGGTTCTGATAAAAAAAAACTCACATAAAAGATGTGAAACACAGGATTAAATGACGCAACTAACTCTGTCAGATAATTTTAGAAAAAGGGAAATTCCACTTTCACTGGTAACTAAATATAATATCAATCCAATATGACCGATTTTGCAAATAGATAAATATTATAACATATATCATATTATAGCGTATAAACGCATTAAAAATTTAAGAGAGAACCTAGCAAAAACGAAAGACTTTTTAAATAGGGAAACTTTTGAGAAGGGACCCCTGCTAAGTATGCCATAGAACTTAGCTAAAACAAAATCCGGAAACACTATTGGTCACTGTTATTTAAAAATATATACTTCTAGTTAATATGTGATTAGTCTTTCAACTCTATAAAATAGGTGTCAAGTCTTGGGGTTTTAGTATGTATGTTGGTGATGGGAGTCGTTGCATTTGTGGAAAGTTTTACCCATGTGATGTGTATGTTGCTGGAATCCTTCTCCGAATTAGGGAAAACCATAAAAACAGTGGTGAGACCATAATAATTCCTAATGTCCAATTTCAACTGATCATGTGCTGCCAAATGTTAAAAATGAAATTTTCATCAACAGTTAACAGCAAATACATTCTCAAATAACAGATGACAAATAATTAAATTGTCCTAAAACAGCTAACAATGAATTAGCCAATAACAACTAACAGCAAATACATTTTCAGAATAATAGATAACAGAGAATTAAATTTGTCCCAAATCAGCATAACAATCAAACCCTTTGCCCCCTCTTCTATATTGAACAATAAACAGAGGGTTGGTATGTGAATAATATGTATGTGTGTGTCTGTGTGAAAGCATAGGTGCGTGAGGACAGCAACCTGTTTTGAGCCCGCCCATATAGTCCATCCCCTTTGTTATTTAATTTCACATACAGGTATATTGATGATGTTCTTTCCATTAACAATCCAAACTTTTCTGATTGGGTTCCATTAATATATCCTCCTGAACATAGATCAAAGGACAAAGAAACTACAGATACAGCTTCCTCCGCATCATTTTTAGACTTTAACCTTGAATTTGAAAACAGCACGGTTTTCGGTCAATATTTCATTTGACCCTTTCTTGATGCATAAATTAGGATTAAAACAAATCAATTTTATGTATTATTCAAAAGTTAACTGTCTTGATTCCTCCTTTGAATCGAAATCAAATATAAACTGATTTTGATAAATTTAGAGGTATGTTTTATCATATAATTAAGCGATGATTCCGTTTTTGCCGTGTTAGACGTAACAACAAAACCCAACCATCCAAATCAAAACGAAGAAAAAAGTACAAACTGCTGAATGGATTTCCATAAAATTGGTACAGGTGGGAAATGATATGATCATATTCATGAGTTAAACGTTCACGACAAATATCATGTCAGTTCTAGCAGCCATTTTCGAAATTCCGTATAGCTGTAATATTTGAAAATTCTAGTACACAAAAATGACAGTAAGCAGTTCGAAATTGTAATATTTTCACACAAATTATAGAAAAGGTCTGTCGCATCAAATTTAAAATGAGATTTTATAAGATTTTACGGTCAAGTATTTATCTTTAACATATATATCATTTAAATTTTTTTCAACATTTTCCTTGTCTCCCTTAAATGTTACCATAAAGCCATTTGTCAAGTTTTTTCAGTACCATGAATTGATATTTTAGTGTAGTTCAAATTTGTGACCGACAAATAAACGTTAAAAACAAATATTATAACCGAAATGAGATTTTTTTTAAAGTTTCATTTAAGCCTTCAATGTTTAGGGAATGTTCGATTATTCATCAATTTCCATCATCAAGTTGTTTGTGTCCTCCAAAATGTTACCAAGTCCAAATTGAACGTTTTTGCACGGAACGGCAATGTAACGTAACTAATATATATAATTTCATTTCCATTTATTAAAAGATTTGCATGTGTATATGTCTTTTGCATTTCACACTTTCTGCATAATGATATCATTTTGGGAGATGATTTCTGATAAAAGTGTTTTATATAATAATAATCGGTTGTGGTTATACGATATAATTACGGTTGACATACTTTGGGATCTCGAGGCCTGCGACGAATGATTCTGTCAATAAAGGTAGGCGTGTTATACACCATTGTGTAGATAAATCAATTTAGATTTACTGCATAACAAGTTTGAGTGGGGTAGACAACCAAGAAATCGAAATATAACGGAAGTACGCTACCGGGTGACATTTTTCAAAAAAAAAAAGACATTCACCAGATCAATCAATCAATCAATCAATCAATATTCATTTTACAAAATACCTTATATTGCACCAGTGTAAATTATGTATTAATTATTGTATAAACACCTATTTATTAGCGTAAACCTATGTGTACCTCTCGTTGCCTTTTTTGTGTCGCTGAATTGCTTTCTTCTTGACATATACACCGCATATTCGTGTATTGTTATCAAAAATTGCAAAAAAATAACACCCAGTACGTACAACGGACCACAACTAGCACTCATCCGAATATACAGACATACAAACAAAGACAAACAAAAACAAAGGACAATACATCGTCCATATAGCATGACTTAGTACAGGCAAAATATGTGGTAGGGTTAAACCAGTTTTACGTGCCTATGAAAAGGGATAATGGTACATGTAATCGTCAAAAATAGCGCACCGTTTAACAGGCCAAATCAAACACCAAAATCAACAAGAAGGTATCGCTAACTTTTGACAATGTTTATTATGTGAACTACCAAAAACCATTCAGTTATAACAACATGTCATCTCCTACATCTATAATAATATCAT